GAGAGAGAGAGAGAGAGAGAGAGAGAAGAGAGAGAGAGAGAGAGAGAGAGAGAGAGAGAGAATTTGATACAGAGAGAGAGAGAGAAGAAAAAGAAGAAGAAGAAAAAGAAAACGTGGTGACCGCGGGAGGGGCACTCCGGCCGATGTTCTGACAGCGGTTGGCTACACCAAAGCTACACTGTTCTAACCCGAAACCTGTCTCTCAACATCTTTCTCTTTCTAAAAGGCACAACCGTTCGTGGAAAACAGAGAGAAGTGGGCGGGGCCGTTGTTGAGACAGCTAGCGACGTGCGTCCATCAGAACCGTACGGAAGAGTGGATCAATAGAGCACACGATGGTGCTGCACGGTGCTTGAACCAATGAACGCTCCATACACCCCCAACTCCGCCAAAGAGACCTGCCTCTCTTCGCGCCTGCCTCTCTGCTCAGGCTTGCTAACGGCACGAGGCTTGTGAGAGGGAGGGAGAAAGAGAGAGGGAGAGAGAGAACACGATAGAAACATCCGTGGGAGGGTGTCGCGAGGATGGTAAAAGAAAAGAGGGGGCTTAGTCCCATTTGCGAAGATAATAAATCGCAAATGATTCAATATTAATGCCAGCGATAGGCAGGCAGGAGAGAGCTAGCTTGGGATCATTTTCACGGGGTTAAACATAGAGAGTTTCGTGTCATTATCACTAGCTCTGCCAGCCTCCGGGGGTAGAGAGAGAGTGAGAGAAAGAGAGAAAAGGAGAGAACGCGCGCGAGAAAGAGAGAGAGAGAGACCGCGGTACTTGCAGCAACTTCGTAGTATCGTTGACTTTAGAAACGAAGAAGTTTTGTTCACCGGGGAGGAGAAACGAAACTTGGAAGGAATTTGAACGAGGAGCCAACAGGAAGCTACTACTACCACCCACCCACTGCCACGGGCAGTAGACGGAGACTTCACAACTTGAATCAATGTCTTCAAATTTCCACGGTTTTTTTCCTCACTCGCACAGTTTACTTTGGCATGGAGGAGTCATGTTTTTCAACGTCGATTGAGTGTGTGCAGTGCATCGCATAAGTGTTGACCCGTGCTTTTCCACTACTTTATGGAGAAATAACAGTGTTTATTTCTGCTCGATCTTCTTTTTGTGAGTGCACAATTCCTAATTGAATCATGATCACTGTTTCGTAATTTGTACAATTTTGAGCTTTTAAAAAGTTGCTTTATTTTCAGCTAATGCGCTACTGATATTTAGCTACAGCTAAACGTCATCTCGTCCCTTTTATGGCCTGATTGTGATGAAAGTTCCACAAAACTCTTACTAACACATAAAAACGTCTTCGGACAGTGTCAACTTCTTTCAGCCAAGGCTAACGCCATCACGGTGAATGTGGGACCCCAATGTTCTCATCGGGACACTTCCGAGAATCTCACGTCTAGCTGACTTATTTCTTCTGAGGATCTGCATTTGATTTGATAAACGGTTCATTCATCCCGGACACTTCCCTCAACAACAAGAGAATCTAAGATCTGGTCTCGTCACGGCTGGACCCTTGCCTTGACCAGTGTCCAGTCCTCGGCAGATCGAAGGACAGTCGTGAGTGCTTGAGTGAGAGCGTGCGTCCAGGATGTCTCTTGCCCAGTTTCCGGCGTTCCCCGCGCCCAACCTGCCCCGCAGCTCCCCGCCCAGCACACAGCCACAGGTAAGACTTTGCCGTCACTGGAGAACTCATGCATCACGCTGAAACGTAATAACAATATTAACCAATAAATTAAGATCAAAGAAAGGAAAAATATTGACCAATATGCTAAGATTAAACAAAGGAAAATTATTGACAAAAAAAACAAAAACTAAGATTAAACAGAGGACCAACAAACTAAGACCAAACAAAAAATATATGTTGACTAAGATAAGATAAAATAAGATACATCTTTATTGTCCAGGTCCCGGCACATTAAATATAAATAACTGATGAATATTTACCAACAAACTAAAATAAAACAAAGAATGAAAATATTGACCAAATATAAAACATAAAGATAGATATTTCCCAGCAAACGGAGACAAAATTAAAAGATAAATATTGCCCAACAAACTAAGATTTTAAAAGTCTTTCTTGTCAAACATCTATCGTCCTTATCTTTCCTCTTTTATTTTTGTTTTCAGGCATGTTACTCTCTAGTCACACTTCTATTCTTTGAGCTCCTATGTATCTATTTGTCAAACAAAAGCCGAAAAACTCTTTCTCGAACAAAGATAGATAAATGATAAATATTGATATAAAAAAACGTTTTTAAAACTGCAGATAAATTAACACCAATTAACAGAATACGATTTTTTTTTAAACTGAAGGTAAATCAATATTGACCAACAAACTATGACTGAATAAAAAAGAAATATTGACATATAGATCTAAACTAAGATAAAGCTGAATACAAATAAATAAATATTAATCGGCAAATTAAGATAAAACAAGATAAATATTGACTAACCAACATAGAAGAAACAAAAAACGAAAATGACCAACAAACTAAGATAAAAATAGAAGATAGATATTGACCAACAAACTAAGATAAAACAAAAGATACATACTGATTGAAACATAAATGAAAAGGAAATGAAAAATACGACCTACACATTAAGGTAAAACAGAATATTAACATTTCCAACAAAGTAAAATAAAACAAAAGATGAATATTGACAACAAACTAAAATGAATATGCTGCTTACGTTTATGTTAAAATCTGAGACACAAGTTTGATTGAATGTTCAACTTTGTTTTGTGCTCTTTTAGGTTTGTATCTTTCTTTCGTGTCCTTTGATATTCAGTTATGGTTTCACCGTTTGCCCGAAAACGGTTTGTGGACTGAACAAATTCAACATCTGATGTCAGCAGAGTGGCCATACGATGCCCTGCCGATAAGGTGAAATTCAAGCATCGCTCTCTCGCAGACGATTTGATAACTTTGTTGAGCCCTGGGGGAAAACCCGGGGAGTGACAGGTGTTATTTAATGCCCCGCTTGGAAATTCATTTAGTAGATGGGTGATAGGTAAATGTTCGCCTCTTGAAATGTGGCAAAAGTGGGCGCTGGACGTTATAATATTATAATATATAAAGTTTGACAAACACTGCAATAGAGTACAGTCTTCTAAAGGTGTAAATTTCTAGAATACCGGGTCGGAGTCATCTTTACGAACTTTATAATCATCGTTTCTGGGGGAAAGGCCCACGTTTGTTTTATTTGTTTGTTTGTTTGTTTGTTTGTTTGTTTGTTTGTTTGTTTGTTTGTTTGTTTGTTTGTTTGTTTGTTTGTTGTTTGTTTGGGTTGGGGGTTTTTTATATTGTTCGTTTTTTTGTGTGGTGGGGTGTTTTTTTGTTTTGTTGATTTTTGGAGAGGGTTAGTCTGTATCGGTTTGCTTTTAAAATGAAAATAAGTTATTATCACACCTATGTTTGGTATCGTGTTTGAAAAATGAGCAGAGGAAAACGGCCTGATGTCTATGAACGTATGACGGGCCACACAGTGAGGGCCAGGTGTTTGTCTCGGTCTCTGTCACGCTCTGTGAGCACACCTTTTGTTGTGGCTACAATGGTTTGGGAGCGCGTTTTCAAAATATCTGACTAATCAAACAATATCACTTTAAAAATCTTCAGTGTATGGCATAGATAGAAAATAAGATAAATAACAACAACTGTAATAACAATAAAATCAATAACTTTAACAGCAATAGTAGTAAAAAAAAAGCAATAACAACATCAACAACAACAACGAAGACAACGACAACAGCTACAACAGCAACAGCTACAACAACAACAACAACATTGACAACTGCATTATTTTACAAGTGTAATCTATGGTGTAGCGGTGAGGCGTTTAGTTGACGCACACAGGAGAACCGAGTTCGATTCTCAAGTAGGGAAAACATTTTCATCAAGTATCTTGGTCTTTGCATTGAGATGTTGTATCTCTCTCAGCCCGGGTTGAACCCGAGTGGCATGGTCGGAAGCCCGCCTCTTAAATAATCTAAATTATGTACATTGTAAAAAAAAAACCACTGACATTAAAGAAAAGAAATAACAAAATTGTGGGTGGTTGGCGGGTGCTCTGGTGCGGTTTTCCCCTTCTTTCCTATAAAAAAAACTATCGTCCTTCTCCCCCTCCCCCCCCCTTGTTCTTGTTACTCTCTTGTAACACCTGTAATCTTCAGGCATTTATGTGACCTTATTGTGTTGCAAGTACCGTAAAACTCATACTAAAACTAAAAACAACGAAGTTACCATGATACAAAAATCTTTCAAACCAACATTAATTACAGCAGCAAAACCCACGCACGTACCAAAGCTTGACAAGCACGTACCAAAGTTTTGCGTAAGCAACATGATACCCAGCTTGTGTTCACAAACTCCGCCTTGTTTTGTTTTTTTTCCAATTTACAAACACGATGCAAACAAACAAAAAAAGACAAAAACGGACCATCATTGACGACGGCACAGTATTACATTGATTACAATTTCTGCACCTTCGTTAAACATTTTAATTTTTTAATCCCTTTTCTGCACGTTTATTATCCCCCAGAATTTATCACACAAGGATAGTATCGTCTAATAACTACAGTAGTAGGTCCTTAACTTCTCTATTTTGATATGTTAAACTGTGGTAATATATCCAATAGATCCTCTAGGTTATTGAACCGCTTTGTGTCCCCTGTGCATATTGCACGCATCATCTCTCACACTCTATAGAGCGGGTTAATGTACATGTATATTTAATTTCATTTATGTGTTTGGTGGTGGGGTGGGGGAGGGGCTAAAATCGAACATTGCGAGTGCTTCTGATGAGGGGTAATCCAGTAAGAGAGTCTAGTTAGTGAGAGGGGAAATGATATGTCTGCCTTTTAACGCGTTAGGAAAGTGTCATTTTTATGGGATTTTAAAAAACGAATCGATTTATATTGCGTTTGCGAGTTTTTTCGTGTGTGTGTGTGTTGGGGTGGGGGGGGGGGGGGGTTCGTGAGTGTGTGCGTGTGTATTTGCGCGTATGTGTTTGTGATAGTGTATATTGTATTCGTGTGTAACTCTTTGCGCGTGCGCGTTCGTTTGTGATTATGTATGTGTGTATGTGTACGTGTGTGTGTGTGTGTGTGTGTGTGTGTGTGTGTGTGTGTGTGTGTGTGTGTTTGTATGTGTATATGTGAGGTGGGTATGTGTGTGTGTGTGTGTGTGTGTGTGTGTGTGTGTGTGTGTGTGTGTGTGTGAGGGAGAGAGAGAGAGAGAGAGAGAGAGAGAGAGAAAGAGAGAGCAAGAGGGAAAGAGAGAAAGATAAATAGAGAGTTGATTCGGAACCACACTAGACTCATAATAATACTTTATTTCGAAGTTAAAGCCCTTACTGCATCTCACTGTTTTATTTATAAGGCGTAGCACTTTCTCTGCCGCCAAAACGATAATGTAAAAAAAAAAAGTCCCCCAATCCATTACTATCCCCCCCCCCTAAAAAAAACCCAAAACGACCAAACAAGTAACAAACAAAGAAACAAACAAAAAACCAAAAGCAAATAAATAAACAAACACACAAACAAATTCAGATCCGACCCGAGCCCCAAACTTTTACACGTCAGGTTCCAAACAGTCTGCCAAAGCCCGTCTCAGTAACGACCTGAATCTATCGTACAATCAGTAACAAGCTAAATTACACAGGAAGCAGAGTTTGATGTTAAATGAGAATATCATCTCCTCATGGATACCAAACATCGACTTGACAAATCAGAACTTGGCGCGGTTTATTGTCTTGTCTCCGAAAAAATACTTTTTTTCTGGTTTGAATTAGGCGTTTCTCTCTAACAGAAAGCGTCAAACAAAAGAAAACTACGTTTTTCAGATCCTGACTGAGCTTTGCAGTCAGTGAAAATGAAAGTTGAAACGTGCTTTAATTCTAGTTATCTGTTTTCTACAAAAGTGGCAATACAGTTGTGTATGTTCCTTTTTTATATTAATTTTTTTCTCTCCTAAAATGCGAAATGTCAGTACTACTGAATAAACAAACACAAAATCACTCCACCCCCACCCCCCACCCCCACCCCCCCCCCTCCTCTTTTCCATCCTTCTTTTTTCCTTCTTCCCTGATTTTTTTTCCATAAAAAAACAACAAACGAAAACGTCACGGACATAAATAAATTTGTTGAATAATTTTTTTTGAAATAGCGCATTAGCCGAAAATAAAGATACAAAAATAAGAAATTAACCCAAAATACTTAACAAAATTAATAACAGTTTCCTCATTCATTTTTGCTTCCAAATATTCCATTCTGTTTATTGTCTCTCGGGCATAATGCAAAACACAAGAACAGTTAATGAAACCCTGACTCTTAACCCCCTCGTGCTGAAACGTGTCTATTTACGTTTGTACGGACAGGATGAAATGTTTATTCAAGAGAGATTTAAACAAAGCCATAATTTACTTCCCCTTGTTTTAGAAGAAACAATTGCACACCAGTAGAAAAAAAGAAGATAACACTGAACCAATTTGGGAGAACCTGCGGAAGTACACACATCTACACAGTATTGAAGAGATTAAGATTTACCCAAACAAAACAAAAACAAAAAATCGATCGTACCGTATTTGCAAACTAAGGTTTTCAAGTGTAAAAAAATATCCGCTTCAGATTCTTGGCAAACAATTCAAAAATCTAATTCTTGGACA